CCTTGTTAGCTGTTGCGTGAAGGTCTCTTAACGAATTTTCCTCTGCTCCAGGCCCCCCGCCCCTCCCGGCAGCATCGCCCGCGCGTCCCCGCACGAGTCGCTGTACGACACCGCCGCCATATACGGCCTCTCGGGTAAAATTCCTTCATCTGGGATCGGAGGAGGAAGCTGCCTGAAGGGAGCAGCTCCCCAGTTCAGGAATATTTTAATATCAAAATCCGGGCTGGCTCAGGCGCCCTCGCTCCTGCCTGAGCGTTTTCTTTAAAGCCCGGCCTTGAGTTAAATCTTTTAAGAGGGTTTTTGTAAAGATTTCCCCCCTTCCTGGAAATTATTCCTTGCTTGAAGGAATAACCCCTCACTCCCAACTCTTCGCTGGGCGCTGAGGTGGCCCCTTCCGCTCCGCTTCGTTTTACGCGGCAATTAACGCCGGAGCGGGGTTTTGGGAGCTGCTCCCGACGCCCCTCTCGCTTCCCTTCCAGCCATGGACGGAGTCCCTTTCACACTACACCCCAAATTCGAAAGCAAGCTCGGGTCTGGCAGTAACGTGAGTCCTCCCCCTGGTTTTAATCCTACCTCGGAGCTAATCTGAATTCGAAACGCTTCCTGCCTCATTTGGGTTTTTTTTTAATTTTTTAGACTATCCTCGCGGACCTGAACGTGAAGTCGCTTGCCGATATCGAGGAAGAGGTGAGCGGGCTGCTCTCCGCCCCGCTCTGGGGGGGTTCTGGAGTTCTCCATCCCCCCCCTCTCATCCTGACCCATTTTGGTTTGCTTTTTCAGTACAATTACGCTTTCGTCGTCGAAAGAACGGCCGCTGCCCGGCTCCCGCCCAGCATCTGTTAGCGCCAGAGTCTCCCTCGGGGATGTAAAACCGCAGCCAAAGCAGCGGGGCTCAGCTCCTCTCCCCCTCCCAAGATTAAATTTCAGGCTACCCGAAGCAACGCAATCAGTATCTGATCACCGAAATCGCTTAGGGAGGAAAAAAAAAAAATAATAATGAATTAAACGCCTTTCTCTTCTCACCTGCCAAACCCTTTTTTGCGACGGTTTCGAAGCACGGGCTTTCGGGCACGGCAGCTTTAACGCCTCCGAGCGTCTCGGCAGCTCCATCCTGTGCCTTCCCTTCCTCCAAAGGTTTCCACAGCGTTTCCGTTGCGGCAGAATTCCAACCCCCTCGGCCTCACCTGGGCTTTGGCGGGGGTTTTAACTCCTACGCTCTCCTCGGCTGTGGAAAAAAAATCAAACCTCGCCAAGCTTTCGGCCCCGCAAAGGAAGCTCGAAACGCGTTTCAAAAGACAGCGGCTTCTGCTTTTTAGTTACCAAATTCTGTAAACGTTTCCTTAAACGTTAGGGCAGTACAAAACTCCCGGCGCTTGGTGGTGCTACGTCCTGGAAACATTAAAAAGTCACGTCTTGGTTTCACAGCGGTGGATTCCACGGGATTTGGAAGAAAACTTCCCCCCCCCACCCC